TTTTTTTTCCCTACCGTACTTCTGCCTACAAATCAAGTCTTCTTTATTTCTCCTTTTCGCTCTGAGGAAAAAGGCCCCCTTTTTTAATTATTATTATTTTTTTTTTCATTCATTCTTCCGTGTTTGTTTGCTTGTTTTTTTTCTTCTTAGCACACTACATAGCAAACACTTATATATACATATACATATATACATATATATATACATATACAAAAAGTACCTTTTTTATTTTATTATCCGACCTTGTTTTTTATTTTATTTTTCTTTTTAAAATAGCAGACGTGTACTTTGAGAAACGTATTCCTTCCTTCTTTTTTTTTTTTTTTATTCCTTCTCTTTCATCATACGTTTTCAGTGGTAATAGAAGTATACTTCGTACCCGTGCAATATTATCCATGGGGCATTCGACGGACTACATGCATATATGAAGAGAGTAACAAAGAAAACAATTTAAAGGATTTTTTTTTCCAAAAAAGAAGAAAAAAAAAGGGAAAATAATTTTAAAAAAAAGAAAGAAAATAAAATAGAAAAAAAAAGAAAATAAAAATAAAAAGAATTGGAAGAACTATATACAATTTGTTTTTTTTTTTTTTCATTTTACTATGTATGGCTGCCTTAAATAAAGCAGAATAATAATAATAATAATAATAATAATAATAATAATAATAATAATAATAAAACGATGAAAAGCCTCATTTCATATGCTATCCCAAGTACATGTACGTCTGTTTTTGGCCTGCCTCTTTTTGTTGTTGTTGTTGTTGTTGTTGTTTCCACTGCCGCTGTTTTTTTTTTCTTTTCTTTTTTTCCACCTTCTTCTCCTTCTTCTTCTTTATTCATTCACTTTGTGGTTTTATCAACAACAAAAAAAAAAAGATAAAACCCCTTTTTAAGACCCATACGCACACATCAGTAGGCGTATAAACAGAGAGCACATATACGTATATCCCTCTACGTGTATATATATATATATATATGTATATATATACAGATGGGATAGTTAGATAGTTAGATACAGATAGATATAGATATATAGATACGCTTAAGAAAAAAAAAAAAAACGTGGGGTATGCCACTGAGGACCAAAAGCAAAATAATAATAAAAAAAAAGATATAAGCAAAGATAAATTTTTTTTTAAGTTGATCAAAGTAACTGCTTCTACTTCTTTTTTTCTCTTCTTCCTCTACACTTTTTTAACAGTTAAATCATCCTTTCTTATCATTCAATACATCATCAGCAATGTTCTCTTTTATTTCCTTGTTTGTTGTTATTCACATGTCTTGCTTATATATATTTTTTTTTTCGTCCTTGGATTTTTTTCAGCTGTTTACATTATTAATAGCAATTATTATTATTATTATTATTATTATTATTATCCTCCGAACTTCCTAAATATATATATATATATATATATATATATATATATAACTAATAGACAGATAAGCCAGCAATAATACTATTCATAGCAATAGGGTGTACTGTTTGACCTGTGATAAGAAAAGCTTACAGAAGATCTGTAAAATATTAAACCCAAAAATAAAATAACTTATCGGTCTCAAATACCTCTTTTCATAGACATTATTTGTCTTTTTCTTCTTTTTTTTTTTTCTTTTTTCTTTTTTCTTTAATTATCATTCGTAATTATGAGCCCCATGATGTGAATCCCGCTTCCTCCTCTGGTGTCTGCACTCTTGGCGAAGACAGCGGGTTAAATGCATAGAGATTGTAATGGAACTTATTGGTATCCGTCCAGACAAGAGATGGGTGTTCACGCATTCGCTCAACTAGATATGTGGTAGCGTAAGGATTATAATAATAGTCATACTCACACTCATAGTCATACTCACATTCATAGTCATAATCATAATCGTATTTGTTATTGTTCTTCCTGTTGTTATTATTATTATTATTATTATTATTATTATTATTATTATTATTATTATTATAGTAGTTGTAGTTGTAGTTATAGTCGTAGTTATAGTAGTTATGGCGTCTATACTTCCGACCGAAGCTTTTGGGGTGTGGTGAAAAACGGCTGTATGGTTTCGGGGTTAATTTTAACTCTTTTAACTCTTGCGCAGCCTCTTCATTCTTCTTTTTCTTTTTCTTCATAGTCTCATCATCATCATTATCATTGTTTACAACAGCGGTAGAATGTTTGGAAGGGGTTTTCTTCTCCTCCGAGTGGATTTCTGTTGCCACCAGTTTACCCTTTACACGTGGAGTACAGCACTTCTGCTCCTCCTTTATTTCCATTTTCACTTTATTCTTTTCTTCCTCTTTCTCTTCTTGTTTCTTCTCTACCTTCTTCTCATTATCATGTTCTTCTTTCTGCTGCTGCTGTTGTTGTTGTTGTTGTTGTTTCTGATTGCGTTTCTGTTGTGAAGGTTGTTGTTGTTGTGATGTTGTTGATGATGATGGTAGTTGCTGTGTTGATGGCGATGATGATTGAGCCAAGGCCTTCTTACGCTTACTGGAGGATTTATCCGGCATCTCCACAACCATCGGCTGCCGTGGAAGATTGCTAGAGCGATAGGAGGCCGTGCTGACTTCCTGTGAATACTCCTGCAGCCAATCTTTACTGCGGGGCGGGGCCAACAAGTACACTTCTTCGCCGTTTTCACGCATATCAAGAAAGAGAAGTTTGTTAAATGCCATCAGTCGAGAGGCATCCTCGCGGGAAGTCACAAACACCCACGAACAGCCTTTTCCACGTCCGCTAAGCGAATTGGTGTGTGCCTCCATGTGTGGGATTACCATATCGGGATGGAGAAAGTTGAGAAGATGTCGAAGGGATGATGGATGATTATCGCGACGCTGTTGGCCAAAAAACAAACGAATGTTTTTCGTTGGCGTTCCAGTAGACTCCGTGGAATCATCTGTACTGTTGTTTTTACCCTTATTCTTACTCTTATTATTATTGTTATTATTATTAGTGGGTGAATTGGTATTATTGGTGATGCTACTTCCCTCGTAGCGGTGTAGAGGAGATGGACGGCCGGTGTAGGCGGGAATACAGAAGACGCCATGTTCATTCACAGCGAAATACTGTTTGACCAGACGATTGAGATGTTTATTAGTTGCCAGTAACGCAATAACTTCTGGAAACGCGAGAAATCCAAACATGGCAAGAAGAACAGAATCCGGCAATCTTTCAAACGTATTCGCCCGTTTCCCATTACCGCCGCTGACAAGAGTGATGGTAGGAATTGGGAAATGTAGGCGTTGCTGCAGCGGCGGCGGCTTACACGGTGTGGAGATGCGAGAAGAAGTGAAACTGATACAACCGTAACTGCTGCTGGTGGGTGTGCTGAATGTACGCTCTGTGCACATCCCGTTTATTCGCCTCTCCTCCTCCCGCACAATCCGCCGCAAACTCCTCCGTTTTCGTTTATTCTCCTTCTCCTTTTCTTCCTCTTCTTCCTCCTCCTCCTCCTCTTCCTCCTCTTCACTCCCACTGCGTTGGTGTTTGGTGTCGGCGGCGACGGCGGCGGAGCACAACTGCTCGTAGTGAAACGCCCGGTCGCCGCGCATCTCCGCCTCCGCCTCCTCCGCCTCACTGCAGCCGCAGCAGCAGCGGTAGTCCGGCAGGTGTTGCGCCGTCAGCTCCGCCAGCGACACTTCACTGGCAGAACTGCCGGACTGCTGGAGAATCGACTCCAGCGTTGGGGCCATGGTCGGCCACACCACGGAGATCAGCAGCATTACGCCGAGGAATTGCGTATTGCGCAGCTGCTGGGATGGAAGCGGTTTGTCCAAGTGGCGGGTTTTGTTGTTAACAAGACAACTCTCACTGTTTTCACTGATATTGCTGCTGGTGATACAGAGACTGCTGCCGCTTCTCACATGTTCACATTTGACCTTTGCCACCATAGTTGCGGCCTTTATAGAGGTCATTTTCTTTTTTTTTCCTTTTTTCGTTTTTTTTTTTTTCTTTCTTTCTTTTTGGTTGTTTGATACTATTTCAAATTCTTCTCTTTCTATTTTTTTTTTCGTTGTTGTTGTATATATATATATATACTTGTAGATATTTTTGTCTGAATCCTATGCGGTTGGAAAAACCTTCACTAACTACAGGAATGAGTAAAAAAAAAAAGAAAAAAAAAAAGAAACATTATTATAAGTCAAGATCATAATAATAATATCAACAAAAAAAACACAGAGAAAAAAGGAGAACCAATACTGTGCAAAGGAGATAGAAAAGGAAAATGAAAAAAGAAGAAGAACAGGTGTTATCTAAAATAAATAAATAAATACAAAAAAATGGGCTAATTTGATAAATTAATAGAGGTGACAAAAGGAACAATAAATTAAGGAACAAATCAATCAAACACTCAAAAAATTGAATTAATTTTTCAATAAACTGAGGCATAAAAGAAAAGAAAAAAAAAATCAAGACGTTGAAATAAGGGGGTATAAACTAATAATCGCAAGGCTTTCATGATATGGAAATTTATTTTTCCTCCAGTTCCTCTTCTTTTTGTTTTTTCATATTTTTCCATCGAGTTTTACACTTCATATCATCGTTTTTTTTTTTTTTTTTTTTTTTTTTTTTGCTTGTTTTCGTTAATACTTCTACTTCTAATACTACGACCGTTGTCTTTGCGCAAATTATGGCTACTCGGGATTCATATATATATATATATATATATATATATATATTTATTTATTTATTTATTTATTTATTTAATAGAAATAAAAAGAGAGATATAAATGTGTGAATACGAAAGCTAGAGAGATCTACACATCCATAATGGGATATCACAGATAATACAGAAGTGTATATAGACACAAATAAAGAATTCGTCCCTCTCTTTTTTTTTCCTTTTCTTTTTTTTTTTGACTCCATAACAGGCATAAAATCAGATATATGCAAGGGCACAACTCTGTCAATATTACACCCTTTATTCTCTTTTCTAGATTCTCTTTTATTTGCTATTTTTGATTACCCTTTACGTTTTTTTTTTCTTTTTCTTTTTTTGGTTGTTTTTTTTTACATTATTTCTTCATACACTTCGCAAAACATCCATGCATAAGGAAGAGGTATTTTTACAACGACATCGTGGGAAGAAGAAAGAAAAAAAAAAAAAAAAGTCACTGTAAGGGAAAGTGAATGAGTAGAATGAATCTGCATAAAGAGTGTATGAGGAAGATTATCATCAAGAAAGGAAAAAAAAGAGGTAAAACACACAAAAAAAAAAAAATCAGATAAAGAAAGAAAGCATTTTGTATGCTTCTTTATTTCTTTTTTCTTTTTTTCTCTCTTTCTCACTGTGAATGTGTGTCTCTAAATATACGACCAAAAGGTGAAAGAAGGAAAAAAAGAAAAAAAAAAAAAAGAGATGAACGCTCATGTATGTGTTTGTTTGTTTAGTTGTTTGTTTGTTTTCTTCTGTATATGTTTCTTCTGTGGTTGGGAATAGAAATTTCAAATACTCACCCCAATGCTCTCATCTATACTCCCCTCTGTGGCGGAAGAGAATGGGAATAATCCCATAGAGTTTAACCCACTTGATGGGAGTTTCGTTGAGAGAAAGTTGTAATAATGATCGCAACAGTATTCCATCCAAAGGCAATTTACTTCCATTTTAGCAATCGCATTTACAACGGATCGTGAACATCCCACTACAGATTCTCTATTATCAGCAGTAAATTGCTTCTGACTGATAGCAGTAGGAGTCGTAGTAGAAGAAGTATTAATCTCACTGGTGGGACTTACAATCCCCTCCATTGGTGCATCTCCCACCACACAAGCTTTCATGAGTCCAAGCAAAACGGCATCACTACAAAATGTAGCTCCATACACGATAAGAAGACTTCGAATATTAGATAATCGTTTTCCCCATCCAATAAGTCCATTGGGTTCAAATAAACGTATCATGAGCCGCTTATTACGCAGCATCGCCTTTGCAATGGGAGCATTAAGAGTTGTGAAGTACTGCAGTATAATGAGTTGTAGGGATAGTGTGCTGCTACGATCAAGAGCAAATACGGCGGGTGCAATCATATTAATCCATCGTGTTTCTTGCGTTTTATCGAGTTGCGATACCCGCAGCAAGACCTCTGCATCTATCTCCATATCTAAATCGCTATTCATATTCATATTCTCCACTTCCGGTAATGGTACGGTATGGGTTGGGTGTCCGAGGAGTGTAAGCAGCAAAGAGGCGAGTGTACACCACGTATTACTATCCCCACGCTCAGTGAGAGACTGCATCGCAATACTCACACCAGCCGCATCCGTGTCGTTGTCAACATTGAAACCACCAGCACGAGAGGAGGTAGTGACGACACCAAGAGCCGCAAGGGCCCAGGCAACAAGTTGCTGTGCCTCATCTTGAATAAGTGGAGAACGACAAATAGCAAGTAACTGTAAAATGTGTAATACCGTTTCACGTGAAAGATTCGTCTGAGACTCAAATGATACGGCATTCTCTGTTGCCGCGAAGGAAACTGCCCCACGATGAAGAAGAGGGGCATATAAAGTGCATACAAAGTGAGAAAAGACGCTCCAACAGTGGTAATCCCGTACCATGTAAGAAACTTGCTCCAAATTATGGGTAATATATTTCCATTGGCTGGAGTTCATAAATGTAGTTTTAGATATGAAGAGAAGCCACTCTAGTAAAAGTAAACATCGATCTATATTATCACCCGTTTTCTCACTACTATTATTAATACTATTGATATCGTCGTCATTGTTGTTGTTGTTGTTGTTGTTATTGTTGCTATTTTCATCCTGTCCAATATGAATGTTTCGAAATCGAAAGAGTGTTATAGTAATAATCATACGATCTTCTGAGGAAAGGAATGGTGCTATTTCAAATATGCGGCGCCAAGTGGCAGTATCATAATCACACCGTAATACACTTGTACCACGGTAATTAAAAAAGATAAGTTGATCTGGTGTACATGTAATAGATTCTTGAGAATTTCGAATAATATACGTGTGTGCAAAAGATGTACTACCATGTTTTACTTCCATAATACTTACAGGTATAGTATAATTTGTACGTTTCAGTAAATTGTCTATATTCCATTTAAATGAACGTAACCTACGAGGAGCCATTAAATCCATAGCATCTATTTTTTCAGTTCGTTGTGGTTGTAGTTGTGCATATGTGTGAATAACACCTTCTCGTAGATCTGGTGTTTCATACTGTGTCACTCGACAAACACCATTTCTCTGTTCAATATAAAGTAAGGGATGTCCTGATCGCTCAGCGTACTGCATTACCGCCGTTGCAACCTCATCTAAATCCTGTCCTGGACTATGATGTACACTACATAAACAATTTAGAAATATCTTTTCATCAAAGATACTTCCTCCACACCTCTGTAAAAGCATCTGTATTGCCTGCTGCATATGATTCCTCCCTAGTAGACCCTCCAACATACGTATAATAGCCGCCCCTTTCCCACAGCTTATGGAATCAAAGGTATCCCTTATTCTCCGTGGGTTTGGACTAACGTAGTTGACCGGATGTGTCTTCTCTGCCTGCGTGTCGAGGGCGAGGGCGTCGTCGAGGAGCTGCGCGAGGAACTCGTCCCACGCCATCCACCCCGGGAAGAGGGCGTTCACGAAGGCGAACTCCACGTGCCGGGCGACCCCGTCCGCGAGCCACGCGGCCTCCCACCGCCCCGCCGCCGCCCAGCCGCCCAGCCACTGCAGCGACACCCCGTGCCCCACCGCCCGCGCAATCCGCTGCCGCCGCTCCACCGGCGTCGACTCCCCGACGAGAAGAAACGACTGGTGGAGCGGAATGAGGCCCCAGAGACTCGCCCCGAGCATCCCCGCAGACGGCACAGACACGAGATCCAGCTTGGAGAGCGGCAGCGGGTGGTCATAGTAATCGTCAAAGAAGTCCACCGCCTTCGTCAAGAGATCCAGCGCATACCAACCTTGACTCACGTGAACGTCAAGGGGGAAAACCACGCGGCAGAGAAGCGGCCAACGGCTCGCAGACTTCTCAAGAATGTGAAATTTGCCCGTGTGAAAGCCAATATGATACGTACTCAGACAGGGAGTCACATCAAACATCACTCGACGCAGAGAACATACGCGAGGTTCCTCATCTAAACACTCCCCACCACCACCACCACCAGCAGCAGCAGCAGCAGTAGTAGTAGCAGTAGAATATGGTTCACATGTTTGAGATCGTGGAAATAAGTAAAGAGAATGGGAACCATGTGGATAGGACATTCCATTCATTTCCGATCCCATTCGTATCGAACCCATACCACCTTCCCCTTTCAACATACGTGAATTTATGCTGGGTCCAGGAGTGGAAGAATTAAGGCTATTACTATTGCTAAACCCCCAAAAACGATCAGGAGTTGACTCTGGTGAAGCATAATCAAAGAAAGTTGCCGCATAAGCAACTTCATCAAGCTCTAAATGTTCTTCATGAACTGGGAGTGTACCTGCAATAATGGAATAACGACTATCAAACTCTACGGTCAGTTGAAATACGGCACGAAATGAAGGTTCATCAAAGCATGGATACAACCGCCGTGCATCTGTTGGTTCTAAATGCGTTGAAAGAAAATTATTATCCTGTGTATAGGAATAAAAAAGGCCTGTTGCAGTTGATGAGGGTTGAATAATACCACCAAAGTGAACAAAATGTAACGTAAATGTTGTACCCTTTACATTTGGAAGTTCTGAATCAAATTCTATTGTAATTGTTTCATTTTCCTCTGAACTCCGAATACCTACACAGTGTAAAACTCCTTCGTCGTCTTCTTCTTCTTCTTCCTCTTCCTCTTCCTCTTCTTCAACTGTTGAAGAAACACTATCTCCACTTCCCTCAATATCGCCAGAAGAATTATGAATACCTGTTTTTATCTTCACATCTTCTGAATCAATAGAGAGATTAAGTGCATGCAGTGTAATATGGCGTGTTGGTTGTGGAAGAGGTGATGCAACCTCAATCGTCACAACAGTTGAGCCAATAAAGAGACCTTGAACAGGTCTAGGCGAAAAAAATAGATCATAACGGCGTGGAAGGAAATGAGAAGGAAGATGGAAGAATTTACTTTCATTTTTCCCTTCCTCTTCTTCTCCTCCTCCTTGTTTTTCCTGTTGATATTGTTTTGAGTCTTTTTGATGTTCTAACATATCGTTTTGCGTACGGTAGGAGATTATTCTTTCCTTTTTTTTATTTCTTTTTTCTTCTTTCCCTCTGACCTGTTATTGCTATTTATATAAAAAAGCTATATAAATATATGGCTCTTCCTCTCTCCAAAAGTACGCCGGGTAATGTCCAACAGTAATGTAGCACCACAAGTAAATAATAAAGTTAGAGAGGGTCAGCAATAAAAGTTCACACACACACACACACACACACTCAGGTTCGCACACAGTTACTTTGTTAAATAAAAAAGGAGAGAGATAGATAGAGATAAATAAATAAAAAACTGATAGATACTAAAGGAACGGACAAGTTGACAAACACACTCACACCACCCAAAAAAAAGAAAGAACAAAAAGAAAAATAGGCTACCCTAGGTGTTTATATATATATATATATATATATAAACAAATACTACCTTTAAAAAGTTGTTGTGGTTATCCCCCCTTTTCGAACCCTCCAACTCTTTACTATAGCTGAGGGTTTTTTTTTTTTCTTCTTCAGCAATGTTTTTCTCTGTTCTCCGCAACCTCTTGTTTATATTGCCTCGGTTGCTGCTGCTTCTCTTATTCCTTCACGTTTTTTTTTTTTTTTTACCCCTGAAATACACCTTTTAAACCAAATTCAAACTTTCTGTGTGGTTATAAGTTTTATTTGATGCTTGCAAACAAACAAACGAAAAGACAGAAAAAAAAAAACCCTATATAGTTCGCGGTAGAAGATAGTATAGTTTACACCTGATAAAACGAAAACAAACAAAAAGAAAAGATAAAAAAAAAAAAAAACGCAAACAGCAACAGTGAACAGAAGGAGTGTACTGTGATGAGCAATTCCCGCCACGCAGCTGCTCTCTTTTAGAGGGGGAGTTTCCTACAGTATAGATAAATAAAGAACTAAACAAACAGAAGAGAAGAGAAGAGAAGAGAAAAAAGAAAGAGTCATAGAAGCAGAGGGTGAAAGAGAGAGAAATACGAAAAAAAAAACACTAATAAGATTTAAAAGATCAATATAAGAAAAGAAAACCATTAAAGCAAATGAAAACAATACAACTATAGATATACAGAAAAACAAAAAAAAAAAAGGTGCAAAATGAAAACATACGCCACATTATTACATCCGACATCATCACCATCACTATCACTATTATTATTATTATTATTATTATTATTATTATTATTATCTTTATTCTCATTCTGAGAGTTTTTCCAGTGCCCGGCGTAGTTCCTCCACCTCCTTCCGTCTGAACCCAAAGTTCCCGGAAAGGGACTCGAGTGCCCGCACCCGCAGAAGGGCATTGCACGTCGTCGCCCGACACTCCGGGCAGTAATAACTGCACACATTCGAATTCGAATTCCCAGCAGTCCGTTTTTTATTCTGCGGGTGTTGCTGCAGACAAGACTCGCAGAATGTATGGCCGCAGGGCACACACGTTACCGGCCGCCGGCACAACTGAAAGCATTGTCCACATGAAAAGGCACTTTCACTCGCCTCCTCTGCTGATATTAATCGCTTAATCGCCGCTAATGCTACTTGTTGTTGTTGTTGGCGTTCCTCCTCGCGTTGTTCACGTGCAGAGAGAGCGGCGGCAGTGGCGGTAGCTGCAGCATCTGCCGTTTCATTTAATAATTGCAGTTGTTGTGTATACTTCATACCCTCTCTTAATAGTCGCCAACTCTCTTGTAATGTCTGGCGTAAAGAAGAGGCAATACTTAATGATTCTTTACGTAATTGAACAACTTGTATTCGTAGAGCCTTCAGAGGTTCACTTTGTGCTAATTTAGCCTCTACTGTAGACATACGCCGTTCTTCTATTAGTCGTAGTGTAAAGATAGACTGTTCACATTCCACAACAGGTGTTGTTGTGAAAGCCTCTAACAGAATAAAATTCCGCTCCTTCACCTCTTCCGTCTCAAGTGTACGTAATGAAAGCGTAATGGCTGAAAGAGAAGAAGAAGTCCTCATGTTTATTTCTTTTAAAGTATACACATGTTGTAGCCCTAGTTCATCCCGTTGGGATTTTTCTAATAAACCAAGAGAGTAACGATCTTTCTTCTCCTGCTGTAAGAGAGATTCGAAATAATTATGTAAAATAGCAGCTGTACGCATTGTAAGAGTATCACATTGAGCAATACTGTTTGAACGCATTGCCGCTTCCAATTCCTTATGTTGTTCTCGCTGATTTTGTAATTCCTTCTCTAAACTTTCTATACGATTCTGCAAAAGATGTTCTTTCTCTGCATACTCCTGTGTGAGAGAGTTTCTTTGTTGCTTTAAAGCCTCATCACGTTCATTACGTGCTGCTTTTAACATTTCTGCATGTTTATTTTCCTGTTCTTTTTGATCTGCACGCCATTTTTCCATCACAGACGCTTCTCTACGCTGCATCTCTAATTTCAATTGTGTTAATTGCTGTTCAAATGATGTTTGTTGTTGTTCTTGATGTCTTTTCTGTTCTTCTTGTAATTGTTGTTGGAGTGCTGTAGACTCCTCTACGGTAGTCTGCAGTAAACGTTTTGTCTCGGCGAGTTCACGTTCAAGTGTTAACACGGTGGCCTGATATTTTTCTTGTTGTTCATTCATTTCACTATTGGCACTATTGAGTTGTGCCCGTACTTCACTCATCCTTTGACTCTCTTGTTTTTTCTTTTCACTATCCTGCAGTAAAGCATTACACTCCGCATATATCTTTTCACGATTTGATGTTTCCACAGCGTTCAGTCCATCACGCAGCATAGTTTCACTATTTATAATAAGATTAGATATCTTCGCTTCATAGGCTTCTTTTTCTCGGATTTGTGCTCTTTGTTCTTTCGCTATTTGTAATCGTTTGTAGGCTATACAAAGAGCATCTACATAGTCCCATGCATCACTTAATGTTTTCGTCAAACTAGATATATTATCACTATCAGATGAACTACTATTATTATTATTATTATTATTATTATTATTATTATTATTATTATTA